CTGTGTGTGTATTAGGCGTAATGACTCTTATGTCATATCACTTAAATGAACCAGAGTTTGGATTTATATACTATATCTATTACAAGTTTGAGTTTAATACAAAATGAATAAAACAGGAAATTGGCTTCATCTTCACCCTTTTATTTGCAAAGTCTTTATCACATTTTATCTCCTAGCCAAATCGGGGAATATCCTTTCCTGATTTACCGCACAAAATAATATAAATGTAATATATGTGTCCTTAATATTTAGTCTTTATGTCAACTAATTCCACTACTAAAATTTTCACTGAAGATGAAAGTTTTCACTTTTCACAAAGCCAAGAATAAATCTAACATACAATTCATTGATGGGAAGTGATTTTTGTCGCCTATCAATATCTTTCACTTTTTAAATGTAGGTTTTGTTTGGAACAGTTTAGCTTTAATTAAAATTATTTGAAATATGATTATAATTTCTAGATACATTCTAATCTATTTTATATTTTTGTTTTAACTTCTAACCTTTAATTTTACATAAACCTTAAACTTAAATTTTTTTAATCATTAAAACTTTTTAGTTTTATTTCATGAAAATATAAGACTAAAATTATAGAAAAAACAATTGCACAACAAGAAGAATTTGAACAAGAAAAAATAAATTTCAAATTTGAAGTTAAGAATTTAGGGGAAATGAGTGTAAATAAAAAATCTAGTTAAGTTTGAGATTGGGGAAAAAGGGTTTAAAGAGTTCTTTTTTTTTTTTAATTACTGAAAAAAATATAGTAGAATCTTTCTATAATGATACTCTATATAAGAATAACTTCTATATAGTCATAAATAATTATGGTTCCAACTTGAACTAGTTATAAATAAGAATAAATTTCACATTATAATAAGTTATAATTTTTCTAGGTCCCGTCTTAAGGAACTTGCTTCTACATAATAATAATAATTATATGTATATTGTAAAAAATATATATTATGTTAAATTAATGGTTTAAGATGAAATAAAATATTTATCTAAAAATGTTTAGGACAATGATTTATGCTTTAAATTAATTTGTTACCACATATTTTATCTTGTGGATACATAATAAGTCACTATCATGAACACTTTATTGTTGAAGCCAAAATATTTCTAATTTCTCAAGTATGTTTAGAGTTTATTGACATGAAACTTTTGGTATTTCTATTCTATCATCCTTATGATTATTTCTTTCCTCTTCTTGTCTAATTCAAGTAATAATTTCTTTTTCAGTTAAAATATACACAACTTATTGCTCATTTGGATAATTAAGAAAGACATTGATATCTATTTAAATAGTATAGTGAATTTATCGAATCTAATCACTCAATTTTACAATAATTCGTTGATATCTATTTCTATACTATCATAATACTACTAAAACAATGAATTGAAATCTTAATACTATTAAAATATGAATTATAAAATAAAGAATAAAAATAATAATTTTTATTTAAAAAATAATTATTATAAATACATTTTTATTAAGTTATAATTTAAATTTAATTAACCCAAAATTATGATAATAAAGATGTTGTACTGTATTGACCAACATATTGACTATTGAGCAATGGGATAACGATTAATTAAGTCTTTTACGTCAACAAATTCCGCAACTAATTATTTCTGATAAAGATATAAGTTACCAAAAAGCCAATAATAAACCTAAAATAAAATTCATTGACACCCTTCTCAAAAAAACAAAAAACAAAAAATGTCAGACCCATCACGTTAACACATCATCTTATATATGATAAAGAATTCTGTACTAATAATAATAATAATAATAATAATAATAATAATAATAATAATAATAATAATAATACGTGAAATCTCTTATGATTATAATAATGAGATTAACTAATTTTATTACTATAAAGAGGTTATAACTTAATGGAGATATAGTTACAAAAATTATAGTTTTGATTTCTTATTTTTTAGTTTATGTTTTAATAGTACAATATTATGATTTCAATTCATATTTTAGTAATATTAGGATTTCAATTCAGCGTTTCGATTGCCTACTTTTAAAATGACTGTATCTTAGAACCAACAAAGATAAGTGTCATTGATAAAACTATAAATGCAGTTGATACATGATCAATTGATGTGAAGCCACAAACAATTGCCAATGGTTTTAAGCATTGCAAAATTAAGACTCCCGATTTCGATGAATTGCAAGTTACAAATAAAGTGGATGAGAAAAATAAAAGAGTTATTGTAAAATTGAGTGATTAGATTCGATAATTTCACTACACTAATCGAATGGATAGTAAAGTCTTCCTCGATCATCCAAATGAGCAGCAAATCGTGTATGTTATAACCGAAGAAGAAATCATTGCTACATTAGACAGGAAGATAAAGGAAATAATCTTAAGGATGATAGAACGGAAATACAAATTCGTGCCATGAAGCTCTAAACATGCTTAAGAAGCTAAAAATATTTTGGCTTCAATAAGAATGTATCCATGCTAATAAGATATTACATACTAATAAGGTAAAGAATGTGGTAACAATTTTAAAATCTAAATTATTATCCCAAATAACTTTAGATAAATATTTTATTTTATCTTAAACCTTTAATGTAACATAACATATATTTTTTGGTAATATACAGATAATTATTACTATATGGAGGTAACTTTCTTTGAGACGAGAATTAAAAAAATTATAACTTATTACAATGCAGAGTTTATTTTTATTTATAACTATCCTAAATTGATATTAGAATTTTTTATGATGGTGCCCTGTGCCCATTCCGGAATTTTTACTGTAACTTTTAGGCGATTATTTGAGAAGTGTCACAGAGAAAGATAGATAGATACAGTTGGTTTTAGTCTGAAAACTTGTAAACCTCTGATTTGGTTTTCACTACAGAATGCTTGTTAGAACGCTGGTTTGGCCACAGAGGTTACTATCAGGTAATGGTGATAATGTACAGGAAATCACTGAAGATGAATTTTTTTTTTTTGTTTCCTGATCCATGTAGTAAGTTGAAATAGAATAAGCCAAAACCAAAACTTTTTCTTCTTCTTCTTGTGGTAATAAAATTAGTGTTTTTGCAGCAGTGTATTTTGATTTCAATATGATGAGTTGGGATTGTGTTGAAATGGAAAGTGAGTATGGTTGATAGAATTGATCGTAGGTTTATCAAAAACTTGGAGCAGGAGTTGAAGATATTGTTTAACCTATTATCTATTGTTGTATGACACAGACAATGAGCATCTAGTTCCAAGAGGCTTGTCTGCTTACTGCGTAGCTTTGATTGATGAACTCGGTGCAGGAATGTTTAAGTGGCCATTTGAAAATAGTTCAAGTTTGAGAGGAGTATAGAAGTCAATCATCCCAAAGTTGAGTATATATTAATTAAGTGAAGAAAAATCAGGGCGATGTTTGAAGGGTGTTGGGTCTGTGAAGAAATTAAGAGCCATAACCTTTCTTCTCGAAACAAATTTATTTTCACCTTCTTGAATGTGGTACGTGTCTAAGTGAAAAGATTGGTTGCCGCTTACAATTTTATGTGTCTTCACTCAAATCCAAATTGAGAAATTAAAGGGGGAGCACAACTACTTTCTCAAGTTGGACCAAGGGATTTTCCCTAACAAATTAGTGAACGTGTGATATGTTGTTTTAATAGGATAAACAAAAGAGCAAGAGTTTATGAAAATCTTGACAATTTTTCCTTTACCAAAGAAAGAGTAAACCATTGAAGATTGATTTCACTACAAACTTTTGCCCATCATTGTGAAGCCATTGGGCAGTGAAGGAACAAATGGTCAGGGGATTCTGCACATTTTTGCACATAACACACCAGAGGGGGGAGAGACTCATTTAATGGTACTTCAATTGGATGAGATGATATCAATTGTATTGAGTTTCCTTGAACCAAAATTCATGCAAAATCTTGAACTTTGGGAAGAACTTTTGCCTTCCAAATTGAAAAATTCGAGTGTTAAAGCTTGTAGCCGAGTCAGTGTCCCATGGAGCTTGGACTACTGTCGTTGAGCCTGGCATGTTGTTGTCAGTGTCTTGATGACATCATCACATTCACTTGTGGCTCAGTCGATGGAGCGACTAAAGTCCTCGCCAATTTGGATTTGGTAGAGTTGTCGTGGTTTGCTAGTAGGGGAGTTTGAATCTCCTCATTGATGGTGTCTAGGTTGTTGACGCCGACGTGTGCGGTACAGTTGGCATCAACCCTATTTTGGATCTAGTTTTTTGAGTCATGTTTGCAACTCTGAAACAAGGCTTAGTTTGCCGAGAAAGCTCAAAGAACTTTGTGAGAGTCTTTTTCTAGCATCAAACTGTTGATGTAGTTTTTTGCAATAACTAGAAGTACACAAGACTAGAGGAATATGCGTAGGATTTGCTTAAGATTCATAGGTTTGGTATTGGATGATTGGAAAAAATAAGTCCAAAACAACCACACAGAACAAAAGGATTTTTAGAGTGGGTCGGTTGCTTAGAATGCAAATCCTACGTCTGCTGTTATGTTATAGAGAGTTTATAAGAACAACAAACTGAATTAAAAGAGTATCTCAAGGAATCCCTCAGTTATCTCTCTTCCCAACCTCTATACGAATGAATCTCTGTGTGTGTATTAGGCGTAATGACCTTATGTCATATCACTTAAATGAACCAGATTGGATTTATATACTATCATACAAGTTTGAGTTAATACAAAATGAATAAAACAGGAAATTGGCTTCATCTTCACCTTTATTTGCAAAGTCTTTATCACATTTATCTCCTAGCCAAATGGGGAATATCCTTTCCTGATTTACCGCACAAAATAATATAAATGTAATATATTGTGTCCTTAATCATCTGGTGCTCAGGCTCTACATTTTCAAATTGTACTGTGTTGATGATAATATTGGTAAGAAATTGCTCGAGTGTCATGTTCCAATTTGAGTCTCTGAATTGAATTTTTTTAAATTTTTTATTGGCTGTTGTTGCATATTTTTGAGAGCTTATCATGTCGTTATTTTCAGCTCACACATCCAGTTTGCTAGCACCACCAGTGTCTCCTGATGCATCACGCGTTTCTGATGTTAATCAGGGTTATGGGCCTCATCAATCGCAGCAACAAGTTCAAGTTGAAGATTCTTTTCAATCTAATATTCATAATGCTGATCGGAAAAAGATGGGTTCTTTGGCAAAGGTTGAGGATCTCCAAATTAAGTTCTTCCGTCTTATACAGCGTGTTGGGCATGGACATGATGGTCTCCTGGTGGCTAAAGTTTTATATCGGATACACCTGGCAACTTTGATACGAGCTGGGGAATCAGATATAAAAAGGGTCAACCTCAGAACTGATAGAGTTAGAGCAATAGCAAGAGAGCAAGAGGTGGCAGGTCTGCCTGAATTAGATTTCTCAATTAGAATACTTGTCCTGGGAAAAACGGGGGTTGGTAAGAGTGCAACAATAAATTCTGTATTTGATCAAATAAAGACCAAGACTGATGCATTTCAACCAGCAACAGATCACATTCGAGAGGTTGTGGGAACTGTTAATGGGATAAAAATAACTTTCATTGATACCCCTGGTTTCTTACCTTCTTCTACAAGGAGTATGAGGAGAAATAGGAAGATTATGCTCTCTGTCAAGAAGTTCATTAAAAAATCACCTCCAGACATTGTTTTATATTTTGAACGCCTAGACAACATCAACATGGGCTACATTGATTTTCCACTTCTGAAGCTAATGACTGAAGTTTTCGGTTCTGCAATTTGGTTTAACACTATCCTTGTCATGACTCATTCTTCAACTCTTCCTGATGGACCCAGTGGGTATCCTGTTAGCTATGAATCATATGTGAGCCAATGTACAGATTTAGTACAACACTACATACACCAGGCAGTATCTGACTCAAGACTTGAAAACCCTGTGCTTTTAGTGGAAAATCATCCTCAGTGTAGAAAAAATGTGAGGGGGGAATGTATCCTTCCAAATGGACAGGTTTGGAAATCTCATTTCTTGTTGTTATCCATATGTACCAAAGTTCTTGGTGATGCTAACTCCCTTCTGGAATTTCGAGACAGCATCCAATTGGGGCCCTTGAATAATACCCGACTTCCTTCTATGCCTCATCTCCTTTCATCTTTTCTCCGTCATCGCTCATTATCAAATCCAAGTGAAGCTGAGAAGGAAATGGACGAGATATTTGTTTCGGACATGGATGAAGAAGATGAGTATGATCAGTTACCATCGATAAGAATTCTGACAAAAGCTCAGTTTGAGAGATTAACAAAATCCCAGAAAAGATCATATCTTGATGAGCTTGATTACCGAGAGATTCTATATTTGAAGAAACAGTTGAAAGAAGAGTCTCGAAGGCGGAAGGAGGTTAAGCTTTCCAGGGAGGAAAATTTCCCCAATGACAATAATACTGATAGTGAGGTATATCCAGAGGCTGTCATGCTACCAGATATGGCAGTCCCTCCTAGTTTTGACTCAGATTGCCTGGCCTACAGATACCGCTGCCTTGTGACAAGTGACCAGTGGCTTGCGAGGCCTGTTCTTGATCCCCATGGATGGGATCATGATGTTGGCTTTGATGGAATAAATTTGGAGACAGCTTTGGAAATAAAAAGGAATGTCTTCATCTCAATCGCAGGTCAGACAAGCAAGGACAAGCATGATTTCAGTATTCAATCCGAGTGTGCTGCAGCCTACATGGATCCTATGGGGCCTACTTATTGTGTTGGTCTTGATGTTCAATCTGCTGGTAAAGATATGATATATACAATTCACAGCAACACAAAAATGAGGAATCTCAAGCAGAATGTTACTGACTTGGGGGTTTCTTTGACATCTTTTGGAAACAAGTATTATCTTGGTACAAAACTTGAAGATGCCTTACTGATTGGGAAACAGCTAAAGTTGGTAATGAATGCCGGCCTAATGGGGGGTGCAGAACAAGTTGCATATGGTGGGAGCTTAGAAGCAATTTTAAGAGGGAGAGACTACCCTGTGAGGAATGACAACATCAGTTTGACAATGACAGCTCTCTCTTATAATAAAGAGCTAGTATTAGGTGGAGTTTTCCAATCCGAGTTCCGGCCAAGTCGAGGCATGAAAATGTCCGTTAATGCTAATCTAAATAGCAGGAAAATGGGACAGGTTGGTATAAAATTGTCTAGCACTGAGCATATGGAAATTGGTTTGATTGCAGTTTTTGCAATTTTCAAGGGCCTATTCCGCAGAAAGGCATCAGAAGACAAAGGCACAGAAGCATTGGAGAGAGGATAATTTTCCTCTTTTGGTACTAAGGAGAAATAGAGAAATGAATTTTGTGGTGCCCTGTGCCCATTCCGGAATTTTTACTGTAACTTTTTAGGCGATTGTTTGAGAAGTGTGACAGAGAAGGATATAGATAGATACAGTTGCGTTTTTAGTCTGAAAACTCGTAAACCTCTGATTTGGTTTTTCACTACAGAATGCTTGTTAGAACTGCCGGTTATGGCCACAGAGGTTACTATCAGGTAAATTGGTGATAATTGTACAGGAAATCACTGAAGATGAGTTTTTCGTTTCCCTGATCCGTGTAGTAAGCTGAAATAGAAATAAGCCAAAACCAAACTCTTTTTCTTCTTCTTCTTCTTCTTCCTGGTAATAAAATTAGTGTTTTTGCAAGCTGTGTATTTTTATTTCAATATGATGAGTTGGGATTGTGTTGAAATGGAAAGTGAGTATGGTTGATAGAATTGATCGTAGCTTTATCAAAAACTTGAGCAGGAGTTGAAGATATTGTTTAACCTATTATCTATTGTGTATTGACACAGACAATGAGCATCTAGTTCCAAGGGCTTGTCTGCTTACTGCGTAAGCTTTGATTGATTGAACTCGGTGCAGGAATGTTTAAGTGGCATTTGAAAATAGTTCAAGTTGAGAGGAGTATAGAAATGTCAATACTCCCAATAGGTGAGTATATATTAATTAAGTGAAGAAAAATCAGGGCGATGTTTGAAGGGTAGTGGGTCTGTGAAGAAATTAAGAGCATAACCTTTCTTCTCGAAACAACTTTATTTTTTCACCTTCTTGAATGTGGTACGTGTCTTAAGTGAAAAGATTGGTTGCCGCTTACAATTTTATGTGTCTTCACTCAAACCATAATTGAGAAATTAAAGGGGGAGCACAACTTACTTTCTCAAGTTGGACCGGGATTTTTCCCAACAAATTAGTGAACGTGTGATTGTGTTTCAATAGGATAACAAAAGAGCAAGAGGTTTATGAAAATCTTGACAATTTTTTCCTTTACCAAAGAAAGAGTAAACCATTGAAGATTGATTCACTACAAACTTTTGCCCATCATTGTGAAGCCATTGGGCAGTGAAGGAAAAATGGTCAGGGGATTCTGCATCATTTTTGCACATAACACACCGAGGGGGGAGAGACTCATTTATGGTACTTCAATTGGATGAGATGATATCAATTGTATTGAGTTTCTTGAACCAAAATTCATGCAAAATCTTGAAATTTGGGAAGAAATTTTGCTCCAAAGAAAATTCGAGTGTTAAGCTTGTAGCCGAGTCAGTGTCCCAATGGAGCTTGGACTACTGTCGTGAGCCTGGACTGTTGTTGTCAGTGTCTTGATGAAATCCATCCCATTCACTTGTGGCTCAGTCGATGGAGCGACTAAAGTCCTCGCCATATTTGGATTTGTAGAGTTGTCGTGTTTGTAGTAGGGGAGTTTGAATCCCTCATTGATGGTGTCTAGGTTGTTGACGCCGACGTCGTCGGTACAGTTGGCATCACCCTACTTTTGGATCTAGTTTTTTGAGTCATGTGTGCAACTCTGAAACAAGGCTTAGTTTGCCGAGAAAGCTCAAAGAACTTTGTGAGAGCTCTTTTTCTAGCATAAACTGTTGATGTAGTTTTTTGCATTAACTAGAAGTACACAAGACTAGAGGAATATGCGTAGGATTCTGCTTAAGATTATAGGTTTGGTATTGGATTGATTGGAAAAAAATGATCCAAAACAACCCACAAGAACAAAAGGATTTTTAGAGTGGTTCTGGTTGCTTAGAATGCAAATCCTACGTCTGCGTGTTATGTTATAGAGAGTTTATAAGAACAACAAACTGAATTACAAAGAGTTATCTCAAGGAATCCCTCAAGTTATCTCTCTCCCAACCTCTTACGATGAATCTCTGTGTGTGTATTAGGCGTAATGACTCTTATGTCATATCACTTAAATGAACCAGAGTTTGGATTTAATACTATATATTACAAGTTTGAGTTTAATACAAAATGAATAAACGGAAATTGGCTTCATCTCACCCTTTTATTTGCAAAGTCTTTATCACATTTATCTCCTAGCCAATCGGGGAATATCCTTTCCTGATTTACCGCAAAAATAATATAAATGTAATAGTGTCCTAATATTTAGTCTTTTTGTCAACTAATTCCACTACTAAAATTTCACTGAAGATGAAAGTTCACTTTCACAAAGCCAAGAATAAATCTAACATACAATCATTGATGGGAAGTGATTTTTGTCGCCTATCAATATCTTCACTTTTTAAATGTAGGTTTTGTTTGGAACAGTTTAGCTTTAATTAAATTACTGAAATATGATATAATTTCTAGATACTTCTAATCTATTTTATATTTTTGTTTTAACTTCTAACCTTTAATTTTACATAAACCTTAAACCTAAATTTTTTAATCATTAAAACCTTTTAGTTTTATTTCATGAAAATTAAGACTAAATTATAGAAAAAACAATTGCACCACAGAAGAATTTGAACAAGAAAAAATAAATTTCAAATTTGAAGTTAAGAATTTAGGGGAAATGGTGTAAATAAAAAATCTAGTTAAGTGAGATTGGGGAAAAAGGGTTTAAAGAATTCTTTTTTTTTTTAATACTGAAAAAAATATAGTAGAAATTTTCTATAATGATACTCTATATAAGAATAACTTCTATATAGTCATAAATAATTATGGTTCCAACTTGAACTAGTTATAAATAAGAATAAATTTCACATTATAATAGTTAAATTTTTCTAGGTCCCGTCTTAAGGAACTTCTTCTACATAATAATAATAATTATATGTATATTGTAAAAAATATATTTAGTTAATTAATGGTTAAGATGAATAAATATTTATCTAAAAATGTTTAGGACAATGATTTATGCTTTAAATATTTGTTACCACATATTTATCTTGGGATACATAATAAGTCACTATCATGAACACTTTATGTTGAAGCCAAAATATTTAATTTCTCAAGTATGTTTAGAGTTTATTGACATGAAACTTTGGTATTTCTATTTATCATCCTTATGATTATTTCTTCCTTTCTTGTCTAATTCAAGTAATAATTTCTTTTCAGTTAAATATACACAACTTATTGCTCATTGGATAATTAAGAAAGACATTGATATCTATTTAATAGTATAGTGAATTTATCGAATTAATCACTCAATTACAATAATTCGTGATATCTATTTCTAACTATCATAAACTACTAAACAATGAATTGAAATCTTAATACATTAAAATATGAATTATAAAATAAAGAATAAAAATAATAATTTTTATTAAAAATAATTATTATAATACATTTTATTAAGTTATAATTTAAATTTAATTAACCCCCTTATGATAATAAAGTGTGTACTGTATTGACCAACATATGACTATTGAGCAAGGGATAACGATTAATTAAGTCTTTACGTCAACAAATTCCACCACTAATTATTTTTTAAGATGTAAGTTACCAAAAAGCCAATAATAAAACTAAAATAAAATCATTGCACCCTTCTCAAAAAAACAAAAAACAAAAAATGTCAGACCCATCACGTTAACACATCATCTTATATATGATAAAGAATTCTGTACTAATAATAATAATAATAATAATAATAATAATAATAAATAATAATAATAATTACGTGAAATCTCTTATGATATAATAATGAGATTAACTAATTTATACTATAAAGAGGTATAACTTAATGGAGATATAGTTACAAAATTATAGTTTTGATTTCTTATTTTTTAGTTTATGTTTTATAGTACATATTATGATTTCAATTCATATTTTAGTAATATTAGGATTTCAATTCAGCGTTTCGATTGCCTACTTTTAAAATGCTGTATTTAGAACCAACAAAGATAAGTGTCATTGATAAAAATAAATGCTGTAGTTGATACATGATCAATTGATGTGAAGCCACAAACAATTGCCAATGGTTTTAAGCATTGCAAATTAAGACTCCCGATTTCGATGAATTGCAAGTCAAATAAAGTGGATGAGAAAAATAAAAGAGTTATTGTAAAATTGAGTGATTAGATTCGATAATTTCACTACACTAATCGAATGGATAGTAAGTCTTCCTCGATATCCAAATGAGCAGCAAATCGTGTATGTATAACGAAGAAGAAATCATTGCTACATTAGACAGGAAGATAAAGGAAATAATCTTAAGGATGATAGAACGGAAATAAAATTCGTGCCATGAAGCTCTAAACATGCTTAAGACTATAAAATATTTGGCTTCAATAAGAATGTATCCATGCTAATAAGATATTACATACTAATAAGGAAAGAATGTGGTAACATTTAAAATCTAAATTATTATCCCAAATAACTTTAGATAATATTTTATTTTATCTTAAACCTTTAATGTAACATAACATATATTTTTTGGTAATATACAGATAATTATTACATATGGAGGTAACTTCTTTGAGACGGAATTAAAAAAATTATAACTATTACAATGCAGAGTTATTTTATTTATAAACTATCCAAATTGATATTAGAATTTTTTATGAATATGTAGAATTTATTCCATATAAAGTATCACTATAGAAATTTTATTTTATATATATATATATATATATATATTATATATATATTTCACAAAGAAAATGTTATCACGAATCCTTAATCCTCGTAATACTGCAGACAAACCTTAAAATATTAGGCTCTTGTTTTGATTCATTAATGAGTTTTTTAAATAATATTTAGAAAAAATAAAATTAAGTTATTAAAAATAAAAATATTAATGTTTTGAATTGATAAAATTAAATAAATTTTGATAATATTAAATGAATATATTTTTAGGTTTTTAAGATGGGATAGGATGATAACAGTAAACAATGCCCCTTAAGTATTATTAGGTGCGTTTGGTTTAGTATTTTGGATATGATTTGAGGATAGTATTGGATAGTTGGATAGGGTTATGATTACGAGAATGATTTTCAGAATAGTGTTTGGTAGGTTTTTGACCTGATATTTGTGTTAAATATTTGATTAATATATTTGTTTATAAATGATTTATTAATATAATATTTTATTGTATTTTGTTAAAATAATTTATTATTATATTATATAATTATCACCTCACATTTAATAATACTAAATATTTTATTGGTAATTTTGTTACCCGTATATATAAAAAAACAAAAACCATATAATTTCAAGTAGTAATCCAACGTTAAAAACATCCACATTAATACATATATGACAAAAATAAATTATCAACCCTCACAATCACATCTGTATATTCATTAACAACTATGACATGGTCCATTGTGCTACCCCAGTGCATTCGTTATGTTATCCCGTACAGTCATCATGTTGTCTATAATACCTTGTTGCGGTTGACTCGATCCTTCTCCATTTCGGCTATTCTGCCCCGTTTTGATGATCACAATATGCTTGCTCATTACCCGTACTATTATTGGTTTGTTCGAAGATACGGTGTCCATATTGTACATTCTTATAAAATTATG